AGCATAAACAGTATTATTACCAGCAATACTAGTAATAGCACAATGTTATTAGAAGATTTATCAATAGCTATGCTTATTATTGGCAGTTTATTTATACAGTGTTTCACATGATGCCTTATAGGACAGAGAGAGAGAGAGAGAGATTTCCTGTAGGCCTCTGTTGGAGAAGGCACAGTGTTTGCTACTACCATGAGCAGACCCACTCTAGTCACGTAGCAAACACTACGCTCCATAGCAAGCATTTGCATAACCAGAGCTTAAATTAAGGTGAAAACAGATGGAACTGGAGAAGTTGAAGGACTTGAGAGAGGCGAGAGTATGTGCCAATATGGTAAGATAGAAATGTTGTACTAATATCAATGTTAATACAAGTTTTAGTAGCTTTAATGTTACATGCTTATTGCAAAATATGAGATAGTGCTTAACAGAATAATTATCATTATGTAATATCTGCTACTTTTGATTAAAAAATAGTCATAGCTAAATTAACTGAAGAGGGGAGGTCAGTCCTCATAAAAGGAAGGACAAATCACAGTAGCAAGAGTGAGCCTTAGAGCAAGCAGTTCCTATTAAAGCTTAACCTCACACTATCCCCACAGCACCTCAATCTTGAACTCGGTCAACCTTTTCATTACAGTTAAAGGTCTTTCCAGAGCACAGATTACAAACTCAGCCAAACTATGGCATTCTGTCATTTGCATATATTTTAAAACCAAGGTCCCAACTAGCTCTGTAAAGATCCCACTTCATTTTTAAAATAAAAAATAGTCAAAGCAACTCTACTATCCTGGCCACATTTCAATGCAGCTAACTACATTTTACCAAATTATCCCTACTTTTTTCAGATGAATAGTTACTCATTACTCCTGAGCAGTGTTACTATAATGTTAAATCATCACCATGCTCTAAACCAAGGCATTTTTTCCCCTGAGTAAACCAAATCCTAGGCTGTGTCTCTAGCTAGCATCCCTGCTGTTCAATAGTTTAGACGGAAGCATCAATACGCAGAGAGGAAAGGAAGCTACCCAAGAATGTTCCCACTCTGTATACCAGTGTGACATAAGCCATGGGACCATACAGGGAAATGGGGAACTGTCAGGGGAAATAGTGTGAGAAACCAGGAAACAGCCGCTGGAAGCATCGTTTTCCTTTAGCGTAGTCAAAACAAATAAACGGGGAAAAAAACACAAAGTGGGATTTGTTAAGGCCGCTTGAAGCAGCATTAACTGTCCTTCTGTCCTGAGCGACCCTACTGGGGAGGTCACAAAGCACAAATACTGGCTTAGAGCCAGTGGCTGCACAGCCACCAAACCCAGCCTTGCCGCTGCTGCTAGGTGTCAGCATGCAGCGGCAAACAGCAACACAGAAGATGAGTGTCCTCATAATTATACTTTGCGAACTGCAGTGGAAGGGACCCTGATTTACATGCCACTGTCAGGCGCTGCCAACAGGTACTTAGGTACCACCACTAGCCCAGTGTAGAAAAAAGTAATGCTGTCTTAAATAAAAAAATTCCTGCTCCACAAACATTTTTTGTTAACTCAGCATTTTCTGTTTACACATTTTGCAGGTAGGAAAGGAATTTGGCACCAATTGCCCATAAAGCATTTTTGCTGTTAATTGCAATCTCATCAGTTTTATCATGACGGTATTACCTTGTACATGATGTGAAGGAAAGTCCCCTGAGACGAAGCTGAGCAAGCCAAACTCATATCAGTGGAGACCCAAAACAAGACTCAGGCCAGCATCTCAAAAATGGAGGGCTAATGCATCCTAAATGCACTGTGCCATCCTGTCCCAAATTACACATCATTAATAACAATCCCATGAGTTTGAGTTACAGAGAAATAAAGCAACATGAGTGGCTGCATAATGAGAACACTGTCCAAAAGTCTTGACAGGAAATCACCCTGCTCTTCAAACTTGCATTCATTTATTTTAATAAACTATTCCATTAAGTGGCTTGGGTTGCTCTAAAGAGGGTTTAATTCAGTTTGTTTTAAATTCCAGGACAGCTAACGTAAAATCAAAGCGGCTTGCAGAGATTTCCTTCCTGAAATGAATGTCACAGTAGAGAAAAAAACATTAACTCCCTTCTTGTGTCACTGATAATACATTAACTTTCTCATATCAGTATTCTCTTTCTATCCTTTCCCCTCACTTCCTTTGTAAAGAGTGCAAAATAGCACTTCTGTGACAATTCTCATGGCTCTTCTTTTCCTGCCAACCCAGGTGCTAGGACCCAATGCCTGATCCTGTCCACAATGAAATTGGTGAATAGTTTTGCCACTGAAGTACATGGGAACAGAACCAGGCCCTTGCAGTTGGAAATTTGTTGAAAATATTCACAGACAGGGCCAGGCTTGCAACTCTTATACACGTAAGCCATCCTTGCTGGTGTGGCCAGTACTATTGCTTCTCATAGTGAATGTTTTTGTGAGTAACGATGATGCTCATAAGCAAAGACTGCAGGACTAGGCAATCATCCTGTAATAGGAAATTGTTGTTTTGATTCTGGTATGTCATACATCACTTCAGGCTCAACAGTGCATATGCCGAACACTTTAAAGGCATCTGTGTATCTAATTCCATACACTGAAGGCCATGAGAATTGTTGATTCTCTAAAGCTTTGCTGAGGTACACACTTAGCTTTAAGCCCATGAGTAGTCGCACATGTTTAAATGCTTGGCTGAAAAGGGTGGATTTCAGCATGGGCTTAAAGCTAAACATAGTCTTTTTTTGCTGAACTGGGGCCTCAGCATTTCTTAAATCCCACTAGTCAGTACACTGCAGGAGCTCTGTCTTTATAAAGCCAATCCTTTGCTATTAGGAAAGAAGATACCAAACCGGAGATCAAAACGCAGGACTGACAATTGGTTTAAGAAGCCAACCCAAACAAACATTTGTGGTTGGACCTGAAGAAATAATTGCCTTTCTGTTTATTTAAAACTTCTTTCATTTTATTATGGAAGAAATAAGGCAGTCAAACACCACGCACTAACAAAACATCAAATTACCTGTTTGAATTTTCAAAGCTGAAAGGAGGAAGAGTGATTTTTGACCAGCTGCAAAGAGACTCCTTTGCATCCAGACTTTGATGGGTGCCAAGTACCTGCAACTCATTCTAAGGCAAATAGTGCTCTCAGTTACAGCATGGCATATGCAGTCACTGAGGGTGGAATTTGACCAACCTACTTTATTTAGTTAAGAGCACTTAGTACCTCTCAACACTGAGCCCTCTGCTACTTCCCCTACTCATTAGGTCTGATTCTCCTCCCACCTGGATCAGTGTTACTCGATTGACTGTGGTTACTAGTATGTATTACTTGTACTTTGCTAGCACCCAGAGGATCAGAGCTCCATTGTTGCCCAGGGAACTGTGCAAATATGATGATGATCCCTGCCCTGAAGAGCTTACCGTTTAATTTACGAGAAGACCATGGTGTGACAATCAACAATGGATGACATAAGGAAGGGAGGACAAAGGTAATGGTGACAGGAAGACATGGTTGTAACTCAGATCCTTTGAACCTCGCTTGGTGCGGTAGTCCTTATTTTGGTGGGTCAAAAGAGGTTAGTGGACGCCAAAAGGACTACTTACCTGACAAAAAACAGCTCAATAAGGTTGGGGTGGGGGTCAAAACTTAAAAAAACCCCTGCAACTAGCAGACTGCACTACTACCCAGTCCTTTAACTTTACATTCTACCTTTCTTGAGGCCCAATCCTACACTTTTCACAAAGGCAAATTCCCAATGAAGCATGGCAGGGGTCAAGGGATGTGCCTGTCGCATGAATGCATCAGGGTCAGGCCCTTTATTTGTCACATCTGTGATGAATTATTTCTCAATATACAGGAGCACCACAACAAATTTAGAGGACAAATGTTCAGTCTTAACAGGAAAAATAATTCTGCCTTCCTTTTGCAGGCAAATTCCTACATCCCCTTCCCCCAGGTTTTGGATTGGGCCCTTGGACATGCTTCGTTTTATCAGTCCTCTCATCTGGCATGTATATTTTTATTCAAATGGGAAAGAAAAAATATTGTTCTTTTTTTCCCCCTTGTCATTAATCATCATGGTAAAGAATGGATGACCAAACATTTGTGTCTGGAATGTTAAAAGACCATTTTGCAAGGCTGCTTAATGCCTATCTCTGTGCATACATTTTTACTTTCTTGCATAAGATATTCAATGCATCATAAATTTTGATAAAAACAAACCTTGACTGTTGATTATCAAAGACTTCTCTTCCATCATCTGCAACTCTTGTTGTGCCACTGTTCATAGTAAAGGCATCAAATATCCTTCAGGAATGCAAAAGGAATTTGCAAAAAGGTGCATCCTTTGCAATAAAATTTACAATGCAGGCTTAAAAGTAATGAATCAGCTTCATGTCAGTCTTCACAACAGTTGCTGTACAGTACCATATTATCAAGATGAAGATAATTTGCCATTTGCCATTCAAGAATATGTAAATTGTAAAATCCATAGCATTATAAAGGTTTGGTATTGAAATTAAAGGGAAAAAAGAAGACAGAACTCATTTTGGTGAAAGATGATTCTTTCCTTCTCAGTCCAAGCTATAAGCCATGTGATGTCAGATTCTTTATGTGCCATCCATTTCCAAAATGTAATAATTAAAAACAGTGAGCCGTCTACAAAAGCAGCACAGATCTGCAGTGTGACTGATACATGTGTTTAAAGGAATTTGGAGTGTAAATAAAATAAAAAACAAAAACAAAAAACTTTTGCAGATACTGCACCAGTAAGTAGCTTTCAAGTTATTACCACCCACCCCTTAATGTTTTTGATCTGTTGTGCACTTGGATCAAAAATAGTAACAGTAAACAAAATCCTATATTTAAAAAAATCCTGCAAATGCACCAATGGTAGAAAACTACAAAAAAATAAATAAGCTGCATATTTTTTTCTGGGATAGAAAGCACAGGATTGAATTATTCAAAATTGTGAAACAGTGAGATTGTTAATAAAAGCATTTATAAAGAAACATATCTACAATATTTAATAAATTAAGGCTCACAAGAAACTAACATCTTATCAACAGCAAAGTTTTCTGTTGTAGGGGTAAAAGCACCAAATTCACTTCACAAACTAGATAACCAGATCTGAACTGATCACAAGGAGAAATCTGATAGTGTATCATAGCTAACATTTCTAGTGCTTTAATGAAGTCATGTTTCACATGAAAAAATAATCTCCTTTCACCCATAAATACAGTTATACAGATACAAAATATATCGAGATAATTTCAGTTTGAAACTACAGTACCAAAAAGAAAAATCCATTCACCCTCCACACACAAGCACACCTTTCCAACCCTTTAATACTAAACTTTGAGCAAGTGAATTGGTTATGCGACCCATTTAAAGTCACTGTTTGCTAAAATAAGTGTCTACCAATTACATTTGCACTGTAATAATTTACCAGCTCCTGCATCATGGAGAGTAACTTATTCTTAGTCTATTTTAAAAATAGGTGACCCTTTGTGTCATGGAAAAAGAACATAAAAACATGTATTCTTGGAGGTCTGTTTAGACCAGTGGTCAATTATAAAATATAGTCAAACTTAATGTACTAAGCGGTACCAAAATTATAATTACAACACCAACAACAACAACAACATCATTAACGTTTCCAATACCAGCAAACCCTGCTGTCTCTCTGAACCCCGACTCAGTGCCTTTTCTCACAGGTCTGTTTCCCTACTGGTGTCCAGGCAGAGCGCATACAACGATTTTCTGAGATCTACGTTGCTCTTAGCTTTGATATTGGCTTTCTCCAAGGAGCCGGTGCCATTGTTGATCCCTTCACAGTTTTCCAAGTGCACAACAGATTTGCTCAGAGAGTCTTTACTGCCGGATCTTTTCAGCTCCCCCTCGGCCGAGCTGCCCTGGGTACCACTGGCCTCGTCTTTGAGGATGCTCTGTTCTTCTTGGTCAGTCTCCCGGTGGTAGAAGTAGTTGAAGTTGGACACGATGACGGGCACAGGCAGGGCTATGGTCAGCACGCCAGCGATGGCGCACAAAGAGCCCACAATCTTGCCCCCGACGGTGACGGGCCTCATGTCCCCATAGCCCACTGTGGTCATGGTCACCACTGCCCACCAAAACGCATCGGGGATGCTGGAGAAGTGGGAGTCGGGGTCATCGGCCTCAGCAAAGTACACGGCGCTGGAGAAGAGGATGACTCCGATGAAGAGGAAGAAGATGAGGAGCCCCAGCTCCCTCATGCTGGCTTTCAGCGTCTGCCCCAGAATCTGCAGCCCCTTGGAGTGCCGGGAGAGCTTGAAGATCCGGAAGACCCGGACCAGGCGGATGACACGGAGGATGGCCAGCGACATGGCTTGCTGCTGGCCGCCGTTGCTGGTGGCAGGAGTCCCGGGCTGCGGCTGCTCTTGGGCCAGCTCAGTGCCCAGCGTGATGAAGTAGGGGATAATGGCCACGATGTCGATGATGTTCATGATGTTCCTGGAGAACTCGGGCTTGCTGGGGCAGGCGAAGAAGCGCACCAGCAGCTCGAAGGTGAACCAGATCACGCATGTCGTCTCGACGATGAAGAAGGGGTCTGAGAGGCCGCTGGGGGGCTGCGCGGCGGGCGCGGGCTCGCGGCCCGGGGTGCCGTTGGTGGCCGGGGGCAGGGGCACCTGCAGCTCCCGCTCGTCGCGGAACTCGGGCAGGGTTTCCAGGCAGAAGGTGATGATGGAGATGAGGATGACCAGCACGGAGACGATGGCGATGCCCCGCGCCGAGCTGGAGCTCTCGGGGTACTCGAAGATGAGCCAGACCTGGCGCTGGAACTCGTTGCAGGGCAGGGGCTTCTCCTCCTCCTGGATGAAGCCCTCGTCCTCGCGGAAGCGCTCCATGGCCTCCTGGCCCAGCTGGTAGAAGCGGATCTCGTCGGCGAAGACGTCGATGGAGACATTGACGGGCCGGCGCAGCTTGCCGCCCGACTGGTAGAAGTAGAGGATGCCGTCGAAGCTGGGCCGGTTGCGGTCGAAGAAGTACTCGTTGCGCAGCGGGTCGAAGTACCGCATGCGCTTGGCCGGGTCGCCCAGCAGCGTGTCCGGGA